CATCCCTAGACCTCTCCGGGACTGCCCGAATAATCTTCGTCAGTAGCTCATGGGACTTTTCAGACATTCTCGACAATCTCACGCACTTGGGCACCAAAAAAAGCAGGTCAATCATTCTATGTTGCCTTCTGACATCTGCAACCACCAGGTACGTCTGGTATTTGCTGTTGTAGTATGCCGCGCTAGATCCCACCAGGTACTTCGAGCCGACTGTCTTATGATACCCCTCGCTATGCTTCAGATTCATTTCGTTCCCATGAGCTTTTCGCTAGCTTCCAATTTTCTGTTCCATCTGTAACGCTCCAGGGAATACTTCCACACTCAAGGATGTGACCAGACCATGGGCATATTCCAGGCGTTCCAATGACTCAATCGACCTGACCATCCCCAATTCCCGCACTCTCTCCATCCAGAAATCGAGGACCCTCTTGCTCGAAGTCAAAGTACGAGTCCCTCGCTTCTTCATTGACGAATGGATTATAAGCCACTCCCGGAATTCCTGACACATACTGGAAGGTCTTCTGCTTCCCTAACGTCACGTATTCTTTCAGACTTCTAACTCTTTCCAGCAATTCTTTAGCGAATGTCAGTTCTTTGTAAGAGCATCTCCTGACTTCCTCCAATCTCCGGTAGCTGTAAAGGTCGTTTACTTCTTTTGTCGGGATCCGTGGTGGCATTTCCTGGTAGAGTTCCAACGAGGCTCTCAACAAGACTTCTTCACGCTTCATCGATCCCTGTCTGATTGCCTTCACGCATTCTTCTAGCACCGGATTGGGGATACAATCCACCATAAATCCACAAAGCAAAGCGCATCTTTTACATTTTGCCCATGCTATCGCGCAATCATCCCTGGCAATCAACACCCTCAAGGCTCTCATTAGTTCTAACTGCTGCTCTCTCGCCTTCGTCTCAATGGTGGCTTTATACTCCTGTCTTCTTATCCCAACAAGACACACACAAGTTTTACTTGTAGATCTGTCCTGACACAGGGGTTGGCTATGTACTCCATCACTGATGAGGGAGTACCCATGGTTTCATCGAAATACTTCTGTAGGGCCACCTTCCAGGAGATTTTGTTCAGAAGTTCCAAACCGTTCTCATTTGCCTCCGATGACATCACAGTGCCATATTCTTCCCTCGTCAGATTTGATCCCGTCACCAGCTCCTTCAGGTGCTTGATTTCCTCCTCCTTGGAAGCGATCTGTAACTCGTCAAACTTTCTCTTCCATTGGTCACGATCCTTCGCTTTCTCCTTGTATTCATCAAACTTGGCGCACAATTCTTCCCAGGCTTTGTCCTTTTTTTTCAAGAGTTTCACTGGTTTCTGCCGTCTGTATTTCGATGTCGTTCATTCTCACCTTCTTTGGTGGTGGAGCTGCGGTTGGTGAGTCCACAGAATGCAATGGGGCCGGCTCATCACGTGATCTTTTCGATCCGAAGAGAGGCTGCGCTGAGTAACTGGGGCGTACTGGCTTTAGCATTTCTCCCAGCCTACAAACCCTTTGTTCGCCTAACCCTGGCACAAGAGCCAGGTCATGCTCAGACATCTCTCTGCGTCTCCAGAATCATTTCAGAAAATTTATTATGCTGTCCGATAAATTTTCTAAAAGCTATTCATTAAAAGGGCTAGCGATAAACAAACCATTTTGTTGCTTTTGCTGTCGCCTGCTTTTTCCGCTCAGTCCAACGCGCTCAAACACATGATTAAAAATGATTCGGCTTGCTTTCAGTAATCAATTTGGAGGTCGCATGTTGCATCCTGAAAAAATTGAAAATGAGGAAAACAATTTGTGGAATTACTATTTTATTTACAAGTTATTTCATTTCTGTTTCTGAAATCCATTTTTGTAGCTTTCGGGCTAACTTATTTTCAAAATTTTTGATGAATTTTGTTATGAAAAAAGATTTTTAGAATAACTTCATCAAGGTTTTTAGTGTGACAACCTATGGTAGGCTGACACGGAAAGATCTACAATTTATTCAAGTTTTTCTTTGATTTCCTGGTGGTTCCGACCATTTAAAAAACGTGAACGAACTTTTTATTCGGGTGTGTTTTGATTTTTTTTTCAAAGGTATCACAAATAATTATCGGAATGGATCGAGTGATATACCAAAATGAAGACCTTTCAGTCGTGATTTGAACGTTAATAAAAATTTTCAAGATGTTTTTTCAGTATCGAGAAAAACTGATTTAAAAATTTGTTTTTTATTTCAATTTTGAGCAAATGAAGCGAGCGAGCAGGCTTACAACAGCCTTATTATACTTAATTTAAGCCCTGAAAACTTTGCTTTTGTTCAAATTGCATCTGTCGAAAATGCTTAATTTGTTTAATGTCAATCCTTCTATCACACCTCGCAGAAAAACACCTACTTGCACAGTAACCGGCTATCCTGGGTAATAATTGAGTATTGCTATGATTAGCTATCACAAATGCTAATTTATGCCTAATATTAAAAAGTGAAAATGATTTACACCGGTCTTTTTGAATACATTTCAATAAGCTAAAAAAAAAGTGGTCTTGTTGAACATAGCACATCGAGCAATCAGTTATAATCAGAAAAGATTCGCCTATGTCATCAGAAAGCATTAAGTACCTTCGGCTCGTAGTAGTACCTAAATGTTGTGATAAACTTATTAAATAGTTTCATGTGATATGGTACGCTTGTAAGAAGCCCTGGACGTGACTTTAGAGACAATCTCGTCAAGCCGCGATACTCCCCTTCTACACGGACAACCCCGCCTGAACCTCCACTTGTGAAAAACCAGGTTGTAATCGCTTTCATTAATTTTACTTGATTTAAAATCCATTTTAAAACAATCCGTTTTACAACCTATTCTCTCTTGTTATGACTCTTTTGTACCCTGTTAAGTGAATCTCCGTGGCGAAGTACAGGCCGTTTCTCACAACCTGCTGCCCCCCATAACTAAATCAGCAACAAACGAATCCAATTCCAAAACTCTAGCTGCCGCATAATTTTACGGAAGCAAGGCCTACTAGACGAACTTTTCACTGAAGCAAAAGCACTCCCCATCAGACATTCGAAACAGAAGAAGTGCGAAGTGAACGAGGAAGTTAAACAGTTCTTTAAGCTAATGAGTACAGGTGAAATATCTGCCGCCATTGTATGCCTTTAAAAAAACGCCGAGACGGCTCGAAACTCAACCCTGGAAATGCACGAAAGCGACGATCCCTTGGGTCTCAATGCGTTCGAATGGAGGAGGATATTAATTCATTTCAACAAGTGATCAATTCAGCTTAGCAAAACGTTTACAAAGCTATCCTGTACAATAGCAAGTAAAGTTCTCCCCCATAAAAACCTAACGGCGTGCAACTCGTGTCGTCTGATACGTCAGGACAAAAAATCAGGGGTACGGCCCATTGGTATCGGCGAGGTTCTGAGACAAACAATTGTCAAAACAATCACCCATTGTAAAATCACGACCTTAAAAATTCGGAAAAACTCCCCAACTCTGCTCAGGTCAGAAAAGAGGAATCGAATATGTTATCCACAGCTTGAGGAACGAGTTCGATAAACCGGAAACGGACGCCATACTACTTATTGCTGCTTAAAATGCTTTCAAATTGCTCAGCAGAAAACTTGTATAACATTCGCCAAAAATTACATAGTAACGGAGCGTAGAAAAAGCACCTATGGACGACTGGAAAGCGTCAATTACCTTAATTCTACTCGTTTTTAACCGTCTAGAAATAGCCAGTTATCTTTCTGGTCGGTTTAGGGCTAAGTAAAAAGTTACCATTCTTAGGCCATCAGTCAAACAAATTTTTGATCAGCTTTCGTTTACATGCAAAAAGAACCACATAGCTGGGTCTCTGATCCCCAGACTACGTGATTACTTTTAAAATCTTGGCTCGAAATCCATTGTTTACGATGTTTTTAGTGACAGTTATAAACTAAATCTATGGGGGATGGATTGAGTTTTTTTATGTCTAGCAGCTCATGCTCCGAAAAAAAAATTGAAATTGGAATTAATTCAGCCATTCAGGGCATCACAGCAGCTAAAAAGTGTATATCACAGTCTGCTGAGTCTCTAGGCACCGGGCCTCCAATTCCGTTCTCCTCCTGAGATAACACCCTAACACTCCTCATTTCGGGTGATCCAGTTTTGGATAATCAACTTACAAATCGCATTAGAAAATGAAATTTATCTACGTCACCTCAACTCACTGCGTGTCATATTTATTTCATTTCTGTTTCTGAAATCCATTTTTGTAGCTTTCGGGCTAAATTATTTTCAAAATTTTTGATGAATTTTGTTATGAAAAATTTTTTTAGAATAACTTCGTCAAGGTTTTTAGTGTGACAATCTATGATAGGCTGACATGGAAAGATCTACAATTTATTCAAGTATTTCTTTGATTTACTGGTGGTTCCGACCATTTAAAAAATGTGAACGAACTTTGTATTCGGGTGTGTTTTGATTTTTTTCAAAGGTATCACAAATAATTATCGGAATGGATCGAGTGATATACCAAAAAGAAGACCTTTCAGTCGTGATTTGAACGTTAATAAAAATTTTCAAGATGTCTTTACAGTATCGAGAAAAACAGATTTGAAAATTTGTTTCTTATTTCAATTTTGATCAAATGAAGCGAGCGAGCAGGCTTGCAACAGCCTAATTATTTTTAATTTAAGCCCTGAAAACTTTGTTTTTGTTCAAATTGCATCTGTCGAAAATGCTTAAACTGTTTAATGTCAATGCTTCTATCACACCTCGCAGAAAACCACCTACTTGCACAGTAACCGGCTATCCTTGGTAATACTTGAGTATTGCTATGATTAGCTAACACAAATGCTAATTTATGCCTAATATTAAAAAGTGAAAATGATTTACACCGGTCTTTTGGAATTTATTTCAATAAGCTAAAAAAAAGTGTTCTTGTTGAACATGGCACATCGAGCAATCAGTTTTAATCAGAAAAGATTCGCCCATGTCATCAGAAAGCATTAAGTACTTTCGGCTCGTAGTAATACCTAAATGTTGTGATAAACTTATTAAATAGTTTCATGTGATATGGTACGCTTGTAAGAAGCCCTGGACGTGACTTTAGAGTTAATCTCGTCAAGCCGCGATGCTCCCCTTCTACACGGACAACCCCGCCTGAACCTCCATTTGTGAAAAACCAGGTTGTAATCGCTTTGATTTCTTTTTATTTGATTTAAAATCCATTTTGAAACAATCCGTTTTACAACCTATTCTTTCTCTTGTTTTGACTCTTTTGTACCCTGTTAAGTGAATGTCCGTGCCGAAGTACAGGCCGTTTCTCACAATCCGCTGCCCCCCATAACTAAATCAGCAACAAACGAATCCAATTCCAAAACTCTAGCTGCCGCATAATTTTACGGAAGCAAGGCCTACTAGACGAACTTTTCACTGAAGCAAAAGCACTCCCCATCAGACATTCGAAACAGAAGAAGTGCCAAGTGAACGAGGAAGTTAAACAGTTCTTTAAGCTAATGAGTACAGGTGAAATATCTGCCGCCATTGTATGCGTTTAAAAAAACGCCGAGACGGCTCGAAACTCAACCCTGGAAATGCACGAAAGCGACGATCCCTTGGGTCTCAATGCGTTCGAATGGAGCTTAGCAAAACGTTTACAAAGCTATCCTATACAATAGCAAGTAAAGTTCTCCTCCATAAAAACCTAACGGCGTGCAACTCGTGTCGTCTGATACCTCAGGCCAAAAATCCAGGGGTACGGCCCATTAGTATCGGCGAGGTTCTGAGACAGACAATTGTCAAAACAATCACCCATTGTAAAAAAACTAGACCTTAAAAATTCGGAAAAATTCCCCAACTCTGCTCAGGTCAGAAAAGAGGAATCGAATATGTTATCCACAGCTTGAGGAACGAGTTTGATAAACCGGAAACGGACGCCATACTACTTATTGATGCTTAAAATGACTTCAAATTGCTGAACAGAAAACTTGTGTAACATTCGCCCAAAATTTACATAGTGACGGAGCGTAGAAAAAGCACCTATTGACGACTGGAAAGCGTCAGTTACCTTAATTCTACTCGTTTTTCACCGTCTAGAAGTAGCCAGTTAGTTTTTTGGTCGGTTTAGGGCTAAATAAAAAGTTACCATGCTTAGGCCAACAGTCAAACGATTTTTGATCAGCTTTCGTTTACATGCAAAAAGAACCACATAGCTGGCTCTCGGATCCCTAGACTACGTGATTACTATTAAAATCCTGGCTCGAAATCCATTATTTACGATGTTTTTAGTGACAGTTATAAACTAAATCTATAGGGGATGGATTGACTTTTTTTCTTTCTAGCTCCTCATGCTCCAAAAAAATAATTAAATTAGAGTTAATTCAGCCATTCAGGGCATCACAGCAGCTAAAAAGTGTATATCACAGTCTACTGATTCTCTAGGCACCGGGCCTCCAATTCCGTTCTCCTCCTGAGATAACACCCTTATCTCCTCAATCTCGTGGCCCGAGAGGGTACGGATACGCTCCGGCTGTCCCACTGAAGCCTTTTTTCTTCCTATCTGCTTCATTTAAGAATCTTATCATGCGTGATCGTCACGATAAAAGACTCCGTTTTTTCTTTTGTTTTTCTTAATTTGTTCGTTTGACGTTCTCGCTCGTTGTCTTTTTTTTCTCTTTTTTGGGTCAAAATGGCCGTTTTCTACGTTTCCGGAAAAAAATTGTTTAAAAACGAAAATTTAAAATTTTAAGTTTCCAGAACATATTGACCCTCCCTTTCACCACGAATTCTTATCTAACGTCATTAATGTCCGTTTTGTTCTCGTCTGAGGTTTCGATTATGCCAATTCGGGGGAATGGCACATACTCACTGGATAGTCCCCTTCAATGTCCCGATTGAACGCATAATTTCGGTTGATCCAGTTTTGGATAATCAACTTACAAATCGCATTAGAAAAAGAATTTTATCTACGTCACCTCAACTCACTGCGTGTCATAATTGGCATCGTACTATATTTCTACGCCTTCTAATTTTTTCACAAAATTTGCACTATTAGGTGTGTCCTAGATAAATTTTATTTTCTGACTACTTACGTCGTTTCACCGCAAAACTTCTCTACTCTCTCGCTGATTTAAAAGGATTTGGGATGTGGCACGACCACGCAAACTTTAAAATTAACTTAATGTAACTCACAAATTATAATCGTTCATTTATGCTGTTGCCGTCAATATTAAAATTAAAAAAACTCTTCGAGCGAGCGTACCCAAACCCTACCAGGTCGCCACAAAGTGAAGATGTGTCCGACACAGGTTAAAAACTTCAGTCAGGTTTAAATAGGTAAATATACTCACCTATGGCCTATATCAATAAGAAATCATCAACTAAAATTTTTCATTGTAATTCAACAATTGCAACAATTCCTAACAATTTCAAAGTCTGGTTTGGCACAACAACATCAAAACAAAAAATTTAAAAGTTTCAATAATCAATCTTGGTTTTCACTTGGTTTTCACACACTACAACAATTAAATTTTTTCTATCTCTCTCCACTTCTACCTCATGTCTCGTCTTCAATCTTCACTCCATTGTTTCTTGTTCCTGTTCACCCATCTCGCTGACTTCCAGGACCTTCTGCAGCATGTCAAAAGAGTTGCTGGCCGTGCCCCAACTTTCTTGTTCCAGCAACCTCCGTTTGCAGATGGCAGGAGATCTACGATTACTTTCTGCTCCCTATTCCTGCAGAAGCTGTTGTACAGACACAGATTCACATTCCGCTCTAGGTCAGCTTGTAAGATCTCTTTTTTCTCTTGTTCTGTGGTGCAAGACATTCCAGCTACTCTCTTTATCGCTGCAGTCACAGCGTTCATATGTGACAGGAATGCCCTCTTATAGGCTCCCGGTCCTACATATAGCTGGTGCCGCACAGAACCATGGCATCAATCCTTGACTTGCCCATATTCACTCGATTGCTTCAGGTATTCTCAGAAGTTTACAGGTAGTCCTGAACAAATCCAGTTTCTTTCAGAGGCTCACTCCGCTCGTTTGCTCTGGAGTTGGTACGGTCATCTCCTGTTCAGTTGTTCCTGCTTTGCTTTCAGCCACCTCACCGCTAGCATGGTGCTGACCACCAGTATCTTTCGGTTCTGGGCTGGATCATGGAGAATAACTCCTCTGCAACCCAAACCAGAACTAGGTTTGCTCTCTTGGGGTAGCAAAACGTCTGCGCTAGGCAGTGACACGGATACTCCCCATGAGTCAGCAGGATTTTCCTCCAAGTTCGATAACCCGATGCTATCAGCAGGGGCTCGATTTCCATCATCGTCTGATGCGTTTCTTCTTTCTCATCTATCGTGGGGAAATCGCTTGACATCATCCCTCTCGCCTTCTTTTTCTGCATTTCACTGATGTTTCCCTCGCCCCACTTCACGAAATCTTCTCCCACCAACTCTTCTATCTCATCCCTAGACCTCTCCGGGACTGCCCGAATAATCTTCGTCAGTAGCTCATGGGACTTTTCAGACATTCTCGACAATCTCACGCACTTGGGCACCAAAAAAAGCAGGTCAATCATTCTATGTTGCCTTCTGACATCTGCAACCACCAGGTACGTCTGGTATTTGCTGTTGTAGTATGCCGCGCTAGATCCCACCAGGTACTTCGAGCCGACTGTCTTATGATACCCCTCGCTATGCTTCAGATTCATTTCGTTCCCATGAGCTTTTCGCTAGCTTCCAATTTTCTGTTCCATCTGTAACGCTCCAGGGAATACTTCCACACTCAAGGATGTGACCAGACCATGGGCATATTCCAGGCGTTCCAATGACTCAATCGACCTGACCATCCCCAATTCCCGCACTCTCTCCATCCAGAAATCGAGGACCCTCTTGCTCGAAGTCAAAGTACGAGTCCCTCGCTTCTTCATTGACGAATGGATTATAAGCCACTCCCGGAATTCCTGACACATACTGGAAGGTCTTCTGCTTCCCTAACGTCACGTATTCTTTCAGACTTCTAACTCTTTCCAGCAATTCTTTAGCGAATGTCAGTTCTTTGTAAGAGCATCTCCTGACTTCCTCCAATCTCCGGTAGCTGTAAAGGTCGTTTACTTCTTTTGTCGGGATCCGTGGTGGCATTTCCTGGTAGAGTTCCAACGAGGCTCTCAACAAGACTTCTTCACGCTTCATCGATCCCTGTCTGATTGCCTTCACGCATTCTTCTAGCACCGGATTGGGGATACAATCCACCATAAATCCACAAAGCAAAGCGCATCTTTTACATTTTGCCCATGCTATCGCGCAATCATCCCTGGCAATCAACACCCTCAAGGCTCTCATTAGTTCTAACTGCTGCTCTCTCGCCTTCGTCTCAATGGTGGCTTTATACTCCTGTCTTCTTATCCCAACAAGACACACACAAGTTTTACTTGTAGATCTGTCCTGACACAGGGGTTGGCTATGTACTCCATCACTGATGAGGGAGTACCCATGGTTTCATCGAAATACTTCTGTAGGGCCACCTTCCAGGAGATTTTGTTCAGAAGTTCCAAACCGTTCTCATTTGCCTCCGATGACATCACAGTGCCATATTCTTCCCTCTTCAGATTTGATCCCGTCACCAGCTCCTTCAGGTGCTTGATTTCCTCCTCCTTGGAAGCGATCTGTAACTCGTCAAACTTTCTCTTCCATTGGTCACGATCCTTCGCTTTCTCCTTGTATTCATCAAACTTGGCGCACAATTCTTCCCAGGCTTTGTCCTTTTTTTTCAAGAGTTTCACTGGTTTCTGCCGTCTGTATTTCGATGTCGTTCATTCTCACCTTCTTTGGTGGTGGAGCTGCGGTTGGTGAGTCCACAGAATGCAATGGGGCCGGCTCATCACGTGATCTTTTCGATCCGAAGAGAGGCTGCGCTGAGTAACTGGGGCGTACTGGCTTTAGCATTTCTCCCAGCCTACAAACCCTTTGTTCGCCTAACCCTGGCACAAGAGCCAGGTCATGCTCAGACATCTCTCTGCGTCTCCATCGCATGAGTCGATTCCTGCCCCGCTCGGTGGTACCGGACTTGA